CCTGGAAGAGGGGTTCTGAGGGCCTAGCAGGTGAGCCCCGGGTCTTTGAGATGCTCAGGTCCTCCGGAGAGACATCTGCCTCCGGAGAGGCAGTGGAGAAACGCTCACTATCCCTGGCCTCCTCATGGCCACACTAGGGCCCCAGGTGCCCAGCCCTCTGCAGACATCCTTGCTTGCACAGCTGGGCTCATGGAGGCGCACACACATCCGCCTGCACTCACGCGTGCTCACACACGCAGCAGCTGGTCACACCGAGCCACAGGCTTCCTGCTCGGGAGACCGTCAAGTGCCACTCCAGCCCACCCAGGCTACTGAGAAAGCAGGGATGGCTGCACAAAGCTGGGGAGGGGGCGTCCGGGACAGAGGGAGAGCCCCCGCCTCCCCCAATCTCCCAGGAAGGGAGGCATCCTCCCCCTGGCCCAGGATCCCATTCGAGCCCTCGGCACCTTATCGCATCCAATCCCTGCAGCCAAAGCCACGTCGCATTTGTATTATATCATTTTAAGGATGGGACACTGAGGTTCCAAGAAGAGAAGTTGCTTGCCAAGGCAGGGAGCCTTGGCAGGAAGACTCAGGGGCTCCACGCTCCACGGCGGCTCCTGACGTACGACAAGCCTCCTGGTCCCCTCGCTGCTGCCCAACCCACCCCCCGCCCCCCAGCGGGCTTATCCCTTCTTCCAGGTCCCTGCCTGCAGGGGGCTTGTGGCCCAGGGGACTGCTCAAGCTGGTTCACAGGGATGGAGGTCCACCCAGCCCCCCAATGGCTCACACCCCCACCTCACCACGGGCACGGGTGGGGCAGGGTCCCTTTGCTCCAGAGTCCCTAGGCCCCCGCCCCAGCCCCTTGGCTGGCCTTACCCTTTGACCTCACAGACCAGGCACCATGAAGGGCTACAAGGTGTGGCTGGTGACCCACAGGGGACATGAACCAGGGAACACCACAGGGGGCCAGGGCAGGGGCACACATGCACTGCGGGAAGGCAGGCCAGCAGGGGCTCCCTCGGGCCCAGCAGGGGCTCCTGTGGCTGCAGCAGGAATTCGGGGAATCTTGACTCTCAAGATTCTAAATGGGGCTCCTGAAGGAGCCAAACAGAATATTCCAAGGATCCCAAACGGAGGCTCCTCTCCCGGGGGCTGCTGAACGGCCCACTGGCTCTGCTCACGGTGGGGCTCTCCTCCCAGCCTCAGGCTCAGTGGGCAGGACAGTGCGGTGGGAGGAAGTGGGGAGCTGACAAGCCCGCCGCTGCCCGTGAGCCTGGCCAGGCCACACTGCCCAGGCCTTATTTGGTCAGAGCCCGCGATGGTCCTGCCACGCGGCTCCAGCTGCCGGGGCACCACTGCCTGCTCCCGCCCACCTGTCCTCCTCCCCAGGCCCCCTGAGCCGGAGGTGGGCGGTCTGGGACACGCGAGATCCCCAGGGTCCCTCCCGGGCTGTGGCGGCCTCCCTGGGATCGCAGCCCAGGGGATGGGAGAGGGATTCCCCAGCTTTTGCCTATATATGGCCGAGGCGAGGCGGCGGTGCTCGGACGGGCCCACAGGCCCCGGACGTATTGTCTTAAGAGGGTGTTTGGCATCGGGCAGAGAGGCCTTGGATTCTTGTAAAATCCTGGCAGGGAAATTGTTTGACAGCTCTGACAATGTTCTGGAGTTTCCAGGAAAAGACTGTCCCGGAGGGCCGAGGGCACGTGGTGCCTCAGCCGCCCGCCGGGCCGGTGAGCTCGGGCAGCGGGCTCGGGGCCGCCCCCTCGGGGGCCCTGGGCAGGGAGCACCCCCACGGGGCCTCCATTTCCGGAGCGGCAGCAGGTGTGCGCGGCACGTTCCCCCGGGCTGAGGATGGAGGGAGGCACATGGGTGCAGAGTGTTGCCCATGAGGTCACCATGGGGGGCTGCCGGCCTCGGGGTTCTACTGCATGTGGCTGCCGTGGAAGGACAGGTCCATCTTTGTCACTTCATCCAGGCCTCTCGGGCCCCAAGGAGCTGGATGTTCCTGGTGTCCCTGCTGACCGATGAGGAAGCCAAGGGCTCAGAGAAGGAAAGGGATTTAGGACTCTGGACTCTTCCTACAGCCCTGTGGGGGCCTCCGCAGGCCAGTGTGCATTGTTCACAAGCGTGTTCACAATTGCACCCTGAGCTCAGCTCTGGGCCAGGCATCCACCTAGGCTTGGGACAATCACAGTGAAGCTGCTAAGAAATGCCTTGTCCCCCAGAGAACAAACATCCTGTCAAGTAAGGCACACCGAGGTCTCTCTGTGCAGACAATCTTTAAATTGAGGCCTAAAGTTGAGAAGGAAGCAGTCCTGGGAAAAACAGAGGTGGTGTTGCAGGCAGAGGAAATAGCATGTGCAAAGGCCCTGAGGCAGGGAGAAGCATGGTCAGGCCCAGGCCAGCCAGGAGGCCAACATGGTTGGGGCAGAAGATGCAGGCACAGGTCACGATCCCAGGAGCTTCAAAGATTCATTTCAGGAGCAGGGATGGGTTTTATTCCAAGAGTAGCGAGATGCTGCATTTTAAGTAGACATCTAATATAATCATATGTGCTGTCATGTATGAGATGTCTACACTTTGCTAAGTGCTGTATGTTCATTTTCTCATCTGATTGTCCAGCATCCCTGTGATGGTGGTGGAATCCTTATCCCCATTTTACAGATGAGGAACTGAGGCTCTGAGAGCAGAAATGAGGTGCTGTGTCATTAATATGGGATAGGACAGGAGTTCCTCCCTCGGCTCTGCCTTATGTCAAAGCCAGTGCCAGGGCAGACTGCCCCGATTCCCTTCCCCCTACCCCGCGAGGCACAGGGCCAGAGGGGAGCCGTGCAATGTCCTTGGGTGTGGCTGATCCCGTCCCCTTTCCACCTGCCTTCCCACCCGCTGCCCCCCAAGCACGGCCTCTTGCAGAGCGGGGAACAGTGTGCCCTCTTGTGCCTGGGACTTGCCCTGTCCAGCACCGCAAGTCCTGTTTCCCGGGAAACCCCTCAGTCCAGGCACAAGATGGTCATCACTTGCCCTGCAGGTGGCCCACTCAGGGGCTCGGGTAGATTGGACTGGGGAGGAGACATCCAGGTCCGCTGCGCCCGCACACCTGGCCCCACGCCCATGTCCGCCCGGACCAGGAAGGGGCTGTGGAGAGGAAAGCAAATAGCAACCCGTGTGTTGCCCGCCTCAGCCTCCCACCGGCACCGGGGCAACGCCACCTGCTCCCGGACAGCCGGCGACAGCAGGACAAAGGGAGGGCTGGGGCTGCCTGCCAGGGAAGCAGAACGCGGGAGCAGGCCCGGGAACAGGCCAAGCAGGGCGGGCTCGTCTCTGCAGTGGGGAGACGCAGAGGCACGGAATCCGCCTTTGAATCTAGGGGCTCTGGGCCTTGAGCCTCTTCTGGACCTCAGTTGGCCCATTTATTAAAGGGGAAGGCAAGGATAGCCGGCAATAGCCGGAGGTTTGCTGAATGCCAGGCTCTGAGCCAACCGTCACCACCTGGAAATCTCGTGCTATCCTTGGAAGAAAGGGCTGTTAACTCTGTGCAGAGAAGGAGCAAAGCCCAGAGAGGCTGAGACAGCCGCCCCAGGTCACACAGCAGCTAACTGTTGCGCGAGGATTTGAGCCTGGGACCATTTGCTTCCAACCCAGGCCCCGTGCAGGAGAGAGCACTCTGCAGAGGTGGGGAGAAAACCCCAGGCCCCAGACAGTGAGGACTGAGGAGAGGCCAGGAGGGACCAGGCTAGTGAAACCCACACTATTGGGGCTGATCTTGCTGGGGACCAAGAAGGGCCCTGGCCTGCGGGTCCCAAACTTGAGACCAGCTCTAGGGCTCTGACCACGGCCCTCTGACCTGCCACCTGCTTTGTACTTATATTTACATTGGCTCATCTTATTTTTTTTTAACCTATATAAGTTTATTTCAAAAGGAAATTATCTATCAACAATGTCAGTGGGAAACCAGTATCACCTGCCTCTAATAAAGGATAGCCCTGAAAATGAGCACAGTGGAGACAAACCATGGATTATACTGTTGCCTGCCCATGCCCCTGGGCCTGAGGCTTCTCTGTCTCTGCCATGAAGGGGGCTCGGAAGGGCGGGCTGCCCTCTGAGACATGCCGAGCGTCCAGCAGAACTGAGAAGGACAGGAAAGCCGCTGAAAGCGACCTCCCCGGGCGCCTGCCCACCCCATGGCAGCACGGGACCCACGTTTATGACACACCCATCTGCACTGGCCCGTTCTTTAGAGATGGGGAGGTCGGGCCTCAAGAACAGGAGCCACGGTTCCTTGAGAGTCTGAGACACGTCAACACTCACACCAGCCTCTCAAGTGCCACCAAGCTGAGACCCCTCCTGTGCCCTGCTCAAGAGACGGAGGATCTCCCAGCTCTGCCCTGTGACCCATCTCTAAAACGTCGTGATCTCCTTGAAGCCAGAGTTGCCTGGACTGTGGACCTCCGTCCAGCCCCTCCGACCAGGCAGCCGCTAGCGTTCCTGCCCAGGGGCAGCCCTGAGATGTTCTAGGCTTCAGGTCAGGGCTCCGCTCCCATGAAAGCAGCATGAAGGGCGCTGGCTTGGTTCCCGGGGCAAACACACAGTGCGTTTGCTGGCCGGCTTTGTGGGCTGGGACTAGCTGTCTCAAGACCGACCACCAACGGCAGGTCTCCGGGAGGGTGGCTCGCCTACATTCCAAAACCACAGGCTGGGGCATGCCTTCCAGGCAGCGGGCTCGCAGTTAGCACCCGGCAAAAGCAGAAAGAAGCCCTTTTATCCTTTGGGTTGCCTCCTGGTGACAGCACATGCCCACGGAGCTACATGTCACCTTCTCTTAGGTGGACAAGTCAACCTTCATGCTATAGAACAGGAGTGTGGGGTGGGGCCTCCCCTCTCTGAGTTGCACGGGGCGGGGGGCGGGGGAAGCGCATGGAGTGCACGGGGCAGCCTGCCCTCAAACCTCAGCTCGGCCGCTGAGCACCTGAGTGACCACAGAGACAGGGCCGGACTCCACGTGCTCCCAGGTCCTCCCAGGTTCTCCTCTGCAGTGCAGGGGTCAGAAAACACACAGCTCTCCGAGGACTGAAGAACAAATACACGTTCAGCATTTCTTACAGAGTGAGCACTCCACACATGTTAGCCCAGGGCCTCTGGGGTTTTTGGTCTTTGTTTTTTCTACCCCTCCACACTTTTAAAAAAGGCAACTGTAAATGTTTTTGTCCCCAAGGACCGAAACATGTTGCCAAAGGACAAAACACTGGGTCAGAGGGCCTGTGAGGTTTCTCAGCACTTGTTCCTTGCACGGAGATTGACCTTCCGGATCGGAATGTGTTTACAGTGAAGCTGATGTGTCATTTTCTCCACATCCCTGCCAGCACAGGGTTTTATCACTTTATAACTGTTTCATAATTTGATCAAAATGGAGAGGGGCTTTGTCTGCATTTCTTTCTTTGCCTACAAGTCTGTGCATTCTTCCCTGTAGCAGCTGACTGCTAATTCCTCAGGGATGAATGGTTTGGTGGCCTCCTTTGAATGTTTCTCAAGGGGCATCTGTGACTGTCCCTTGTCAGGTCCACATTTGGAAGCATCTGAGGAGCAGGAAAGCGAGAAGGGAGAGGTCATAGCTTGGGATGGCAGTGAAAGCCTCTATCCCACCCACACCATCCCCTGCCTTCCCTTCCCCCGAGTGTCTTCAGAGCCTCCCCACCTGAGGAAATCCCTTCCTGGGACTGGGGTTGCAGGCACCACGGCTGGGGAGGAGGAAACGGGGGACCGGAAGAATTGACGGCATTCTTAGAGCAACAAGCCGGTCGTTGAGGCAGAAGGGTAATAGACTCCATTCCTATAGTTCCGACAACTACCGTCCTGCACCCCAGCCCCACTCTCCAGGAATCTCTGGGTCCCGAGAAGTTTTCCTCCCAAATTATGGGGTCAGAATAAACCCCTCCACCCAGTCATGACAACGTGATGCCTCTCTATTCCTTGATCACTTGGGCTCCTGGTGCTATATTAGCAAGACACCCAGAACTCCTTCTTGGGTCCTCTGCCACCTGGAATCATCCAAGGACCCCAAAATCATCCTCAGCAGTGGGGGTGCCGTTGCTTCCCCCCAAACTTCACTGCTATTACGGCACCCTGTGACCACATGGGGTTGTTGTTGGAGATGTCCCTGGAACACCCCTGCAGTCCATGCCCACCTGGCAGTGAGGCCTGAGCTGGGTGAAGACCCACTACCTGGGTCCTGGGGGTCGCCCACACTTGAGACTTGAGGTTACAGCTCTCGGGGGTCACTCCTAAACACTTAGCAGAAGGACAAGTCACATCCCCGACCTATACACATCTTAGGTCCCAATACTGAGGACTGCATTGACCTTGCCCAGAAGCCCCCTGGGGGGATAGGACGGCAGTGTGGACAGAGAGGGAACTGGGGCCCCCAAAGGGTAATTTTTCCAAAGTCACTTGGCCAGTTAGCCCCAATTCAACCTGAAACCCAGTGTCTGGACTCCCCGTCCAGTGCTCTGAACACCTTTGCATTTAAAGGCTGCCAGGGCAAGTCTTCTTCTGGGCCCACAAAGCCAGGCAGGATGTGACCCCTGCCTATTCCCCAACCCCATCCTACCTCCTCATCCAAATTCAAAATCCTTTCCCGCCTGCCTGTGCACCTTGCTCCTTCTCCCCGAAGTCTCCCGCTAGGTTCTCCAGGGCGTCCTCTGCTGCCTGTCACCTGCTACCGGGGCCTCTCCCTGCCTCTCCCTGCAGGCCGTTCCCTATGACGTTCCTTCTCAACAGTGTGCTTGTTGCCCGTGTCCTGCCCGCTCGGCCTTGAGCGTACACCCCAAATCCCTGCCTCTCTCCTCCTCCACTGTCACCTTGGTCACCACCTCCTTGGCCAGCCCCCTGCCACTGACACTTGAGGCCGTTCTGGGCTCCATTGGGGGGTGAGCAGTGTCTCTGACCTTCACCCTCTAGATGCCAGGACCACTCCCACCCTAGCTGGGACATCAAAGACACTTCCAGACTGCCCAGCGTCCCTGCGGAGCAGAATCGCTCCCAGTGGAGGAGCCCTGGTCTAAAGCAAAACAAAGCTGGTGTCTGCTGGCTGGTGGCATCCCTTGATCTTTGGATCCCAGCCCTATCTTGGTGGCCCACAGCACAGGGACCTGCTGGACCTCAGCCACCCCTCTCTCCAGCTTGCCCCGCCCCTAACCCAGGCACCCGCTGTCCCCTCCACCGTCGGTCGTCCTCCAATCTCTTGTCCCATTCCAGGCCCTTCATGCCCTTGGGGCCCCCGACCATGCTGCCGGAGTGCCCCCCGCCCGTCACGGAGCTGGGAGCTCGCTCAACCTCAGTCTTCCTTCTGCAGGATGGGTTGACCCTTCTCCATCCATCTGCCTAATTTATCGACTTCGTTGCCTTTCCCGGAGTCACTCTGGTTCTGTTTCTCATTTACGGACGCGTTTACTTATGTCTCAGCTCCATGGGGCAGAACAGCCCCGGGCACACAGGAGACAATCTGGAAACCCGAGTTCCACGAGTGAATGAATGAGATGGGGGTGCTTCTCCCGGCTTCTAGAAATGGATCCTGACTTCCCTCATGGCTGCGAAGGTAGAGGGAGAGCCTGCTAGGGAAGCCAGAGAGGGTCCCTTCCATGGGCCTCGGGCCCTGAGCCCACCCCACCCCCGCACACACCCTTGCCCCCAGGGTTTCTGGGGCTCTTGGGGAAGAACGTGGAAACCTGTTGGCCGGAAGTAGCCGCAGGCCCGGCCCTCCTCGGCGGGCTCAGATCGTGAGGTCTGGTGTCTAAGTATAGAAGGCAGGTCTGAGAGGAAGTGGCAGCTCTGAACGCCCTGGGGTTTGTTCACTGAGACCGTCCCCATGGGGAGAGGAAATGTGTGAAATGAATTCAGCCGCCAGGCTGGGGGGCCTCCGGCTCCTGGCTGATGGGTGGCCTGGGAGGTATGTCCTAGCTGGACATGTCTCCCACGGCCATGTCCACATGAGTGAGCCTCACCCTCTCCGCACCTTGCTTTAAGAGAAAGGGATCCGGACCAGATTCGATCTTCCAAGGGGCTGTCCCGTGGTGGTTCAGACAGGGGCACCAGAGTCTGGAACTCTCTGAACCTCAGTCTCCCCGTCTGCAGGATGGGCTGATGGGAACCACGCCCTTCAGAGAGTCTTGCGTGGGGGAATCAGTGGTGGTGAGGCCCACGCCGCCGGCTGGCCGGGGACGGGGTTTGGCGCAGGATGGGGTTCGGTCGGTGCTCCGTGTTGTCAGATTGGCGAGGGCCAGTCAAAAGGAGAATGTGGGGCCCCTTGCTCAAAAGAAGCTAGGAATTTCCAGATGGAGACAGCAGAGCGTTAACCCTGGTGCAGGGCCCCTCTGAGCCCCACGTGACTACCGAGGCCCCCTCCACACCCGTGACTTGGGGGGGATGCACCCCAGGGGGCGGGAGGGGGTAGGAGATGGGGTGGGGGTTCCTTACAAGGATGGGTCCTTCTCTACAAGCTCAACCTGATGTCGAGAGGAAGACAACATCAGAGCAGCACACGCAGCACACGGAGGCTCCCGTGCAAGTCACAGTGGCAGGCACAGAACAAGGTCCTAAGTGGACAGTCACCATCTGTATCTGGGTAAAGACCAGGGTGGGAGGCTGAGGCTCCCCACCCTCTCTCCCCCCGAGGCTGACTCTGGGTAGGGAGTTAGAGCAGAATTGAGCTGTATCTGTAACCTTTTACTTCTTGAAGAAAAGAAGATTAGCCCCTAATGTGACAAAAATCGTAAGAATGTTTAATTCGGGGTTGGTGGTTTTATTGTTTTCAGAAGCATTCCATACCTTTTAAATTTTGTAAGAGTTCACCACTTTCAAAAGCTTGTAACAAAGCCACCGGATTAGAAAGTACCTATTCTTTTACTATCTTCCTGTGAGTAAGGTGCCTCAGAAATGCACGAGCATTAATTGAGCACCTACTGCGTGCCTGGCCCAGGGCTGTATTCCAGGGAAACAAGTATTTCCAAGTGTTTCTCCTCCAGGAGCCCAGAGCCCAGCAAGGGGGACAGAAATCAGATATGAATGTCCTGTGCCGGGACTCACATGACATAGCCCCGACTCTGCCATGGGGCTGCCCCTTGGCCACTTTTACAGGAAAGCGAGATCAGGTGGTTTTTGGCTCCTGCAGAAGGACCCCCAAAGCTTTGTAGGAGTCTGCTGCTAGGTACCCAGGGATGGGGGGTGAGGGGTGTGCGCAGCAGACACATTCAGACACAATCACGGGTGGGTGGAGGGGAGCACCCAAGGCTGCCCCAACCCCTGCTGAGCCCCTTAGATGAATCAAAGGAATCACCCTGAATTTTCAGCAGTCTTTCCCACGGTAATGGGGAGACTGACCGCAGGCAGGGCAATCCGCCCCTTTCCCCAGTCCAGGCTTTAATTTTACAGAGGCCTGGGCTGGTGGTCCCTGCTGGGCCAGTGGGACAGGCAGTCCCCGTCCCTTGCCACATTCTGTCATTTCTGTCTTCTTTGTTTTAGCTTTTTATTTTGAAATAATTTAAACTTGCAGAAAATGTATAAAGAAAATGCATATCCCCGTCCCCCAGTTTCTCCTAATATCAGTGCCCTACATAATAGCTCAACTGTCAGAACCGAGACATCCACGTGGATGTAGTAGCAATAACACAGACTTTGTTTGGGGTTCACCAAAGTCCCCCCTCCTGTCCCCTTCCTGTTCAGGGATATCCAAGGCTTTAGTGATCATGGCCTCCATCTCCGGCAGCCTGGGGAGGCTCTCTGCTCCCTTCTGGTCTTTCATGGCCTTGCCACGTCAGAAGAGGGTCAACCCTGTATTGTGTACGTTGTACTTCAATTTGGGTTTATCCGATGTCCTCTCATGTTTTAAAACAAGAGAGAATCCACAGTCCATAAAATGCGCCCTTTTACACACACACAATTCCGTGGCTGGGAGTCTGCACACAGTTGTGCAACTGTCACATGATCAAGTCCCAGAACATCTCTCTCACCCCAGAAGGACGGCCCCTATCCCCCTTCCCATCCCCCGCCATGGCACTTTCTCTGGTTCCCTCTCTCTCTGCGACTCTGTTCCTGCTTTCTTTCGGTTTCTGTTCGTGTCTCTGCCTGTGAGTCACACTGTCGCTCTCACACATGTTCTGTTTTTCTCTACGTCTGCATCTGCCTCCCTCTTTCATTCAAAGGGACACAGGCCAATCCAATAAAATAAATAAAGAGCAACCAGAGGGCACGCTCAGGGCTCTGGAGACAGACAGGGAAGGGATAGAGACTGAGAGTTCCAGCTAGATGGGGCAGTCAGGGGACCCCTCTGAGAAGGTGACAACAAAGCCTATCCTATGGGAGGAAAAGCAGCCACTGCTGGGACACATCCAGGCAGAAGGACAGCATGAGCAAAGGTTCTGGGGTAGGGAAGAACCCCAGGGGCAAGCCAGGGAGAGATGGGGGAGTGAGACAGGGGCCTCCCTAGGCACCAGGTTCACGGGCCCTGAGGCAGGAACCCCAGCCAGCCCACTGCCAGTATGACAAACCTCAGAGAACCTTCAAGCATCCCCACTGAGGGCCAGACCGATCCAGCTCTGCCTTGGAAAAAACCTGCAGGGGGAAAGCACAACCTGGGCTGAAAACAAAGTCTGTGGACTGATTTGCCCGATCGTCTCCTTCAGAAACACGGAGCGCTTGCTACACGCTAGAACCGTAGGGGGCTCGGGTCTAGAAGGAGCAGCAGCTCGCCCCCTCCCCCTGACCCTGCAGGAGAGAGAGGCCCGTGCTGACATGGTCGTGGACTCCCCCAGCACTGCACAGTGGACAGGCACAAACGAGCCTCGAGGGGTGGCGCACCTCACAGCGCAGGTTCTGGAGTGGAAGGCCATGGGTTCCGGTCCGCGTTCTGTGGGGTATCAGCTGAGCAGCCTTGGGGATACCAATCCCCCTCTCTGAGCCTCAGATCCCTCCTCTGTTAAGAGGCCCAGCTTAGAGCTAAGAGAAAACATGTCGAGTGCTGAGCTCCCCTGACATTCGAGAGCCCTCCTTGGCCCGCGGCTGCAGACAGACGGCTGGCTGGCCAGGGGGATCCTGAGCAAGCTGGAGATCCCGCATCTCCTGGAGGGTGCGGTGAGGCAGCTGGGGGAGGGGGCAGCGGAGGCAGCAGCTTGTCCTGGCTCCTGTCCTTAAGTCATTGAGGGCAGCACCAGGCCGGCTGGCTGGAGCCCAACAGCCTGAGTCTCATTTGTGATGCAAATGGCTGGCAGTGGCTTGGGGCCAGGGCACAAGTCCCCAGCCAGGGCCCCAGCTTTTATTCTGAGCGGAGCCTGGGGAAGGAAGGAGGGAGAGCCTGCCCCTCCAGCCTTGGGGGAGCTTTCCAGGTGGGTTAGGGGTGAGCAGGGTCCCCAGGGCAGGGGAGACACATTCCTGGAGGCTGACAGGGAAGGCTGAGGCTGGAGCCACCCTCTGCTTCGTCAGTGGAGGGAGTGGAAAAGTGGTGGCTGGCCCAGGGCCCTGTCCCCCTGGAACCTATAGGTCACGGGTCCGGGTGATCTCCCTAGGATCCCGCAGAAACCAGAGCACTGCTGTGCCACACCCCGCCATTTCTTGGCCATGCGTGGTGGCTCAGAACCCCTCCTGGATGCCTGGCCACGCTGACCTTCTCCCTGTCTTTCTCTGGCTCGCAGTCGCTGCCAGGCTTCCCACAGGCGGTTTCTTCTGCCTGGAGTGCCTTTCCCTTCCCTGACGCTAGGCTAGCTGTGGGTCTCTGGCCCCTCATGCCGTACATGTAATTGTATGTATATTCATTTTCTTAACGATGGTCCCACAAAACCTGCCTCTTTCCCCAGTGGGGGGAAAATGTCCCCGGACGCTCTCCCCCCCCCCCCCACCCCCGGCCCCATCCCTGATTAGCTGAGTAGGTCACGTTCCCCATGAGGTAATTCATTCTTTCAACATTTACTGAGCAGCTCTTCTGTACCGGGGACTTTTCTAGGCACTGGAGACAGACCAGTGAACAAGACAGACAAAAATGCCTGCCCTGTGGCCCTTTACTCCCCCAGGGGTACAGGTAATCAACAGACAAGAAATGTTCCAGCAGTAATAACTGGTAAATGTTGGTTTGAGGTGTGACCAGAGCTACAGAGAAAAATGAGCAGGAGAGGGAGACAGAGCATGGGGCTGTGATTTTTAATAGAGCAAGGTAAGAGGAGAGCCTTGTGGGTACCTGGGGCTGAGCAGTCCAGGTAAAGGGAACGGCACATGCAAAGGTCCTGAGGCAGAGGCTCACCTGGGAGCGCTCAGCACTTCTCTGCAGTGTTTCTCAGCCTGAAATTAAATAATTATTCACGTGATGACTTATACAGTTTCAGTCTTACCCACTAGGACCTTGTATTTGGTACTTGTTTACTAAACAAATGGAGAAAGGACTTACCTATATGTTTATTTGAAGGGGGAGGTTGAACTAGTGAAGTTGTCATGGAGCCTCAACCTCACCCTGAGGCCCCTGGGCAGCTCCCAGGCTGGAGCCCCTGCAGGCCAAAACCTGGATTGGCCCTCATGTCTGGGGACAGGGCAGCAGGCAGCTTTTCCCAGGAGCCTGGGCCGGCATGAACAGCTGAAGAAGAACAGGGAAGGCTTCACAATCTCTCAGCTTGGTCGGAGGCCTACGTGAGCCCCTGTAGACACCCCAGAAGGAGCCGTGAAACAACGGGGCTGGATAAGGGGGCAGGTTCCTGCCAGGTCACTGAATTTGGAAAATGAATTTTAAAAGTATGGCCCTTCAACGCATATTTCAGGGAAGGGCACCTCACGGGTTGCGTGCGGCTCCTTGATCTGGGCGAGCATGGAGAGTCCAGTGGGCACAATACACGTGAGTCCAAACTAGAGGTTCCGGATGCTTCCAGGGAGAAAACTGGGTATGGGGCAGGATGGGACATACTCGCCTCTGTGACGCTTAGTCGAGACATTGGGGGACAGAAGCTGTGCAACTGTCCTGATGAAAATGCCACCACTATTCACAGCAGGGAGGTGCCGGCCCGCAGTTGGCCCGGGGTGCAAAGGAGGCTGGGACGCTGGGGCTCGCTGCTCCTTGGGACCTGTGTGTCCCCTCCTTCCCACTAAGCCAACCATCCCCACAGCCCGTCCCCGCCAAAGACCAGCAGTGCTTCCCCTCCTCTTCAGGGAGGAAGGGAGGGCGGAGACAGCTAGGGGTGGCAGGTGGGGACCTCAGGGAGGTGTCAAACGCTATTCTGGGCAGCCAGGGAGGAAGCAAGAGCGGAAGTCATGCTGGCGACCATCTTGGGCTCCAACATGGCAAACGCGGAGGTGCTGGGGCAACGGCTCCCGGGGGACGGGGGAGAGCAAAGACGCCAGGCAGCGGTCCTCGTCAGGAGGACCATGCTCCCAAGCCCAACCCGTAGGAAGCTGTGCCAAAGCCATGCTGGTCACCCGTCTTTGTTTTGGTGGGGGGCTGGTGGGAGCAGCTTAATGCATTCATCCCCACCGGGTTCCCTAGCCGCTGTGCCAGCCTCAGCCTCTCCCAGACCATGCTCTTGCTGTGCAGGCTGCCCTACCCTCCAGCCTGGCTGGGTACATCCAACCTCAGGGCCTTTGCACATGCTGTGACTGTTCCAAACCGCTCTTCCCACTGTTGCCTCTGTGTATGACCTCTGTCCAGTGAGCCGTCTGCTGGACCCACCTCTGACCTGGACCTTCCAGATTCTTCTCCAGCCACTTCCCTGTTTGTTTCTTTCACAAATTTGTAACTCAGTGATTTCTTGTCTTGTTCTCCTGATGAGGCGAGCTCCTATCAGGGCAGTAGCCACACCCATCTTTTTACTGCTGTACCCCCAGTGCCTGGGCCAGAAGAGGCATGGGCATTTGTAGAAGGGGCAGAAGGATCTGGAACCAACTGGGGCCCAGGGCGGATTCCCCAGAGGAAAGCGAGGGCACAGTTACAGAAAGTTGGCAAATGCCCACAGCGGCCTCAGCATGAGGGGGCAGGTGGGAGGTCCGACCTCACAGAGAATTTGCTGTTTTCCTTTCCGGTAGGGAAGCTGGTGCAGAGTGGCCTGGGAGGAAGAGCCCCAGGCCAGCCCGCAAAGGTGATTTAGAACCTCCAGCAAACTTCTCCCCAGCTGAGCCCCATGCTACTATCTCCTACCCGGGGGGCCGCGTTCCAAACTTATACAAGAAAAACAGGGAAGCCTTTCATTACTCAGAAGCATGCTTAACTGGGACACAGAGTAAATAAACTGATATTTATACCGCGGCCCCACCGGGTGGCCACTTGGCTCTGAGGCAAATATGGTCAAAACTGAGTGCGGACAGCCTCGGAGAAGAGCAAGGCTGTCCCCAGAGGAGCTTGGTGGGAGACGTCCACATCCCACACTCCCATGGACGCCTCTGATCACCCAGGAGAGTCTGGAGGCAGGGAAGGGGTCAATTCTCCTCGTCCCCGTGGACCCCAGATGAGGCAGCTCTGCTCCTTTCCCCAGGGTCTGGATTTCTGAGGGCCTTTTGCAGATCTGCTGCTGGCGGGTCCTGTGCCCGGGGCAGGTACCCATGTCCCCCATGAACTTTCTCATGAAGATGCGCCCCACGCTGCCTCAGGTGACTTCTCAGCTTAAAAGATTATTTCCTTTACATTCTTTAGAATCCATATGTTCAGCGAGTATGAGTCCCCCTGCTATGGGCTTGGCCCTGGCACCGCGGCTGGTTCAGAGATGGGTCAGACACGCTCCTGATCTACCCTAGCGCCCAGACCAAGATGGGAGACAAGCATTAAATGAGCAAACAAAGAGACACACTGAGATGCCCAACCCCGATGGGTGCTCCGGAGGGGGAAGGCAAGCAGGCCGCAGAGTGAGGGGAGGGAGCAGGGAGGGGATGGGCACAACCCATGAGCCTCCGTGGGAAATACACTCCAGGGCAGAGGAACCTGCCCGTGCAAAGGCCCTGTGATCTCCTTCCTTCCCAGCTCCTCTCTGGTTCTGTAATGATCTTGGTTATTGTTTGTTTGTTTTTAATTAATTTATTTATTTGAGAGAGAGAGAGAGCATTAGCGGGGAGGAGAGGCAGAGGGAGAGGGAGAGGGAGAAGCAGACTCCATTCTGAGCAGGGAGCCCGACATGGGACTCGACCCCAGGACCCTGACATCATGACCTGAGCCGAAGGCAGACGCTCAACTGACTGAGGCCCCCAGGCATGCCCTGGGATGATGTTGGTTGGTTGTTTCCTTGATGATTGCCCATCTCTCCCAGGGAGCTAGAAACGCCCCCGGGGGCAAGAGTCTGTCCACTTGGCTCCCTGCACTATCAGCAGAGCCTAGAATAAAGTCTGTGCACAGCAGGAGCTGACGCGTATCAGCGCCGTTCAGGGAACGCAGACCGATGAGTGCGCTGTGCTCCCCGAAACTGAGCAGAAAAGCCAAAAAACAGCGAGGTCCTCTGAAGAGTGTTTATGTCTGTGTCACCCTGTCCTAGGGGAGAAATCTGGAGGGACACAAACCAATGTTATCTCCAGGGGGTGGCCTCGGATGTAATTTCTCATTGTACTTGGCAGGCTTCTGCTACCTTCCAGCGTTTTACTGTGAGATTATATTTATTTTGATCTGGTTGTTGCTGTCGTTGTTTTAGCATCTACAGAAGCAGTATGCACTTGTAGCTCCACGTTCAAAGAGAAAAGTTCGTTTTCACCAGGCACAGCCCCTCAGCCTGCCCTGAACTCCCTGAGTGCACCTTTCATCCCAGCCCCCGACCCCCAGGGTCACACCTCATGGTTAGGGGAGGAGTTGGTCCCCGTGTCCACACACAGGCCGTAGGGCCAGAGGCTGGGGCTCGGGGGCAAGTGTAGGTGGAGGCCAGGGAGAGGGCTGGGCCCCTCCAGCCCCTCCCCAGTGCCGGGAAGCTGGCCGCCTCCCTCCCTGTGCGACCTGGGGACACAGCCCCCCACAGTAACCCTTTCCCTGTTGAGGGCCACCCCTGCCCCTGATCAGGAGCTCCACCCCGCGGGGCCGGCCAAGCAGAGACTCCGGGTGCAAACAAGAAGGAAGAGGTGACTCTCCCACACATCATTCAAAATAGAAGTGACATGCACGCGTCCATCAGGCAGGGAGGGCCCCCAGAGTTCTGGGTTTTCCCATGGTGATTTCTGTTGCTCTCTTCTGGAATATTCTTTCAGTCTTTCCTCATTTCTCCAGAATCGCTGCCTTGCTGGTTTCTGAAGAGCTGCTTGGTGAGATGTGCCCGGTGAGCAGTGGGCACCCCCCGCCACCCCCCGTGCCCCAGCCCCAGTGCCCCCCATCCCCCGTGTCCCCAACCCCGGTGCCCCTGCCCCCCACACCTCCAGCCCCGGTGCCCCCTGCCCCCCACACCTCCAGCCCCAGTGCCCCCCTGCTCTCCGTGTCCCCAGTCCCAGTTCCCCCCGCTTCCTCCCACACCCCAGCCCTGGTGCCCCCCAGCCCCTGGCAACCACTACACTGTCTCACTACACTCACTGCCTGTACGGACTGGCCTATCCCGGACACATCGTGGGAAGGGGAGCACACAAGACGGGCCCCCACAACGGCTTCTTTCCCTTAGCACCTCATCCTCAAGGCTCGTCTGTGTTGTAGCATCTCTCAGCATTTCCTTCCTTTTTATGGCTGAATAATATTCTTGTTGTATGAAGAGACCATATTTGTTCACTCGTTTTTCAACTGATGGACGTTTGGGATGTTTCCACTTTCTGGCTACTATGAGTAG